ACGCCACAATGTAACGATTGCCATGAATGAAGACTGATATACTCTACATCATGCCCAAAACAGTTCAACCTGTTGTTCCACCATTGCAATTTGTATTCCCAGATTCCAAACTCTCATAAAAAATCTTGATCAGCCATAATAGCCATGTACGGAAACAAAAATGTGTAAATATTTTCTACATGTTCACAACTAAACCTCAGGGAAGGCTTTAGCTATCTAATTTATATGACATCTGGAACTTGAAACCTGAGGGAAGGTTTTAGTTATCTAATTTATATGACATCTGTGTCATTTCCACTACTTAGTTCTATAGCTATTTGACAAAACTACCAAATGGTTGCACGAGCGTTCACAGACTGCAATGATTTCTATTTTCCTATTTCTTTTCTTATCTTTTCTTTTTTCAATTTACACCACTGTGCCTCTTTCCATATAAACTCGTCTACAAGGTTGTTATGATGTATAGATGGATTGAGTGAATCTATAAATGGATTGAGATTAATCAGGAAGGACACATTTACATAGGTCCAACACAGTTAAAATTAGGTTAACATGGTTCAAACTCCCAAAATGCTAGCCCAAATCCCTTTCAATGTGGCTGCTGTTATTACAGTCAACAACTTCAAGTGATAACTGTTTCTAAACTCTTTCCTCTTGTCCTGCTGCTTTTGTATTTTATTTTCTTGTTGCCGCTGCTGCTACTTTCTTCTTGTCTTGTTTTGTGTGACTGTTTCTGAATTTTATTCTACGACTTCTCCAAATTTTAACATTATAATATTGTAATATGATTACTATAGATGATTCCGGCTGAATAGCATCCTTAAGAACACTGTGATGAAGTGAAAAAAACACATTTTTATTTAACTATTAATGAAATTCAGAATCTTCAAAATGAAAATTAACCATTTCATTATGAAATAAGATAAAAATATTCAAACCATGTTTAGTGTTTAGTACTCCATAATTTTGCAAGCAGATATAAATATGACAAGTCTGAGTGAATTTCAACCTAAAGTGAGAGCTCTAAATGCTTGTAGAGATACAATAGAGGAAGTTTGTATTGCAATAGTGTTCCGCTGATAGTGCTCACCTGTAAATACAGAGCACCGACCCGTTCAATGTTTAGTGTTCTAAATTTTGTGTGCCAGTAGACAAGTGGTGGGTAGACTAGTGTTGGGTCTGATGAAGTTCAAACTATAGGAAGTATAAAGATTGTTTAGACATATGATTATCACCTTCAGCAGTAGTAAAATATTAATTATACGGGAAAGGCGTGCAGTCGCATGAGTATCCAATACACACTTGTATTCTGGGATGGAAAGATCCATAAGCCTTGATCCAATCCTGCATCTCTGAACCATGTCATCAATTCCTTTTGCGGATCCTACAATCTGTAAAAAGAGTTCAAGTGGCATGGCCTGTATAGCTGCACTCATGGAGAACTGGCAAATTTTACGATGACAGTTAACAGAGCGGTCATCTTTTGCAGAAGGCAAAGTATTTTGCCAATCAGGTAAGCTACTTATGTAAGCCCATAAATATTGGTGCAAGAGCTTTGCGCGAACCATTTTAGCTTGAACATAACCATTAGCACGCATAGCTTCTAATGTTACCGGTTTGTCATCCACAGGATTTGAAGACCTTTCAATGCCTGTTAATATGGTCAAAGGTTGGTTTCCGTACTTGCCAGATTCTCGAGAATGGCTCTTAAGTTCAAAATCCTTGTAGCTATTATATATTTCATTCAGAAGATCTGATGATATACAATCAATAGAAGGATGCAATATAACCGCCTGTTCACGGGTCCGACTGAAATTTGTGACCGCAGGAATTTTAACTTGATTAATTCTACACAATCCATCTTTCTGTAGCTCATTCAAAGTACGATCCAGAGTTTTCCTATCCATCATCGTTGGTTTATCCGTCTCCAGATCCTTAAGCCATCTATAGAGCTCACCATGTAAAATGAATTTATCATCCTGCAGGGTAACAATAGAAATTTTGGTTACTAAGCATCAATGCAGTGGTAAGAACCAAGGATTGCTATTTATCACTACATCATTAACAGCTAAAAATAGCAGAAACAGCGCTAGCAAGAACTCAAAGGCCAAATTTTCAAAATGATTGGAAACAACTTTTATATGAAATGCAGAAGCTGCAAAGGGAAATATTATCAAAACTTGAAATCCTAAGGCTTGTTTGAAATAAAGAGTAAATAACTGTAAGGGGGAGCACAACGTTAATTACATGTAAAAGAGGTATAATGCTACTTAACCAACTGCCAGAAACACTTTTAGAACAACAAAGGCTTTATCAAGAAATACTTGATGAACATAATTTAGAAAGGTGGCAAACAAAGTTACCACCACCAGAAATAACAGCATCAGATGTTCAATTATCCACTTGAGAAAGTGGAAGAAATATAGGTCATTGTAAAAAACATGCAACATTGCATATTGAATATAAACTATAGAAAAGTCTCAAATGGAACCCAGTAGGCCATTATTTAACAATAGCAGCAGAAGAAAGGAAGTTCCATCCTAAATGTCTGAAGTGGGCTACATGAACCATTTTCAATTTCAGCCGTCTTAAGGACCATCTCCACCAAAATAGTGAGAATGGGTTCAACCCATGCATAATTTAACCAAAAGGTTGCCCAAATTGGTTCATAAACATTGATTATTATCACTTACTATAGCGCAATACTCAATCTTCCTACTACAGACCAGCCATCCGAACCAATATCCAAATTGTACTTTTATCCGCGATAAATTCTAACAACAGTTCATGATCAATAGAAACTACTTATCGAGCACACTTTCTTATCCACATTAAATTCCGGCAACAGTTCATGATCTATATAAATTACTTATCACAGCATACTTTCTTACCAGTATTCAACTATTCATCTAAGTTTCTAACTGGATGTCTTCATTTCAGTTATCTAATATTGTTTCTCAGCTACACAATACCACTTATAGAGCATGCCCGATCGTATCTCCATCTTCTAGAATTTCACATCAGCTCCATTAGTATGTCCGTGAATTTCATGACCATGACTGTGAATTTTGCCAGACTTTGAACTAAACAAATTTCAAATTATTCCTTTGGTTGTCCTATAAATTATTAAACCTTTCGATTATAACGTTTCTCTATATTTCCAATTCAGGTGTCATCCTTCTCTAATATCATCAACTAGTATAGTATCACCAGAAAGCAACATGCACCTGTCAATCCTAAATTTGCGTCATAAAATTCACCCATAAGGAGTTCAAACTTACAAAAGTATAGGTGGGTCAAGTAATAGAAACCCTAGGCAGTCAGCCAACAAAAACCCTAAGCAGGTAAGCCAGTAGAAACCCTAAGCGCCAGCAAAAACACCAGGTAGGAAGCCAATTGAAATCCTAGGTGGATAAGCTAGTAGAAACCCTAGTTGGGTCGCTAAAAAAAACCTTAGGCGGTACCCAAGTAGAAACAATGCCTGAATCCAACTAATGAAAGAGGACCATTACAAATAATCATCGTTAGATTCCATTAGAGTTACCGCGACAACATCACTTGTTTAGGCTATAGTTTTTCAAAGGCAAGATTTTGAACTGAGGTTGTTGAAGCCAAAGATGTTAGAGCCAAAGATGTTGTCGAAGCCGAAAATGTGGTTGAATTTACTGAGGGGAGCATGAAGGCCATGCAAAACCCTCTCAACTAGAATCTTGAAGCATGTAAATGTCACATTTGGGAAATGAATAAAAGTTTTTTCATTGACCAAAAAAAAAAAAAACCCTCTCAACTGCCTCTAAAAAAGATGGGAGAGAAGTTTTCTTCGATCAAGTAGACTCTGATACCATGAAGAGAAATAGATAAGGGAAAACATTATTTTTCATCTAACTCCAATCTCTCTCAAATAGAGAATAGAAGGGTATTACAAAATAACTATGTGAAAAAATCATATATAATCACATCTCATAGAATCTCAACAATATATCATAATATCTACTAGATCTAAATACCAATAATATCTAATACTCACCACACAAGTAATACATTGAAAGACAATGAGCACTTGATTCAGCAAGAATTGAATTATAATAGTTGATAGTTTATTATGACCATGCACCGATACTAACAAATAACATGTTGACTTTTTAGTACACTTGTTTGACTTCTTATCTTATGCTCGATTCGCTACAATGAAGATTCACATAATAGCATAATACTTGATTCCTTAGCAGCCCAATAAGTTCGAATAATTCATTATTCTCTATATTTACTTCTCCTACGCGATTTATAATGGTCAATTTACAGAAACAATACACGCACCGTAGTTAATTGTTAACCTCGTTTAACACAACTTTTTTGTTTTCATCAAGCAGTGCTTATTTATTTTAAAAAAACTCACAATTCTTAATTTCTTTTGTATAACATCTCTTTGAGCTATACCTTGAACACACATTACTTATCATACATTCAATGTTACATTAAACGCTGGGCGCTCCTGGGCGCCGGACTTGGCGCCCAGCGCTTAGACGCCTAGGCGGGCGCCTAAGCGGTTTCTGAGCGGTTTTTTTCTTCTGGGCGGTTTTTCTTTTTTTAATTGTGATACTTGAAATATATATACTCAATCACAACGCATAAATACAAAAATACCAACACATATGCTATCCAAACTATAATAGTCAATCAAAGATGCATACATACTAAATGACAAGACATATAATATCCAATAACTAAAAGTTTATGTCCCAAAATATCAGCAAAAAGATAGTCAAACAGGAATAGTCTAGATGTAATATAATGAATTAGCAATATGCATCTAATCAAATGTCATCATCAAGCATCATCATCATCATGAAGTTCCTCCTCTACTCGCATACTTTTTCATTTGAAATAGGAAAATTAAACTTAAACAATTAAACAAATAAACTTAACAATTAAACTAAATATGATATAAATATATTAAGTTGACATGTAATAAATTATAAATGCATAATGACAGTCATAGGTGGTTAGGTGCAGTTAATTTCCTTAAGCTTGAAACAATAAATCTCAACTTCGCTAGCCTGCTAAATTGAAGAACATATAATAAAAAATCCTCACAAGTAATAAGAATCTACCAAACATGAAACATCAGCGGATTAAACTTACTATCTCTCTTAAACAGTTAAACATACAGAAAATTCAAGAGATTTAGGGACGTTACCTTTCCAATCAACACAGATTTTACCTTTCCAATCAATCAAGACAGATTTCTCTTAAACACAAGCCAAAAAATCAAGCAACCCACACCTGGAAGCAACAGACACAAGTAAGCAACCCAATTTCCCTAAAAATTATCAACACAACCGAACCCAAGTTAATGAGAACCGAATCTGCTTAAGAGCACAGCCGAACCCAAAAGTTTGAAGTCGACGAGCTCCAGCACAGGTTGAAGATGAGAACGCAAGTCCAGCATGAGGATGAGATCGACGAGCTCGAAGTTGGAGATGAGAACGACGAGCTCGAAAATGAGCTCCCAGGTTGAAGACGAGCTCGAAAGTCCAGCACGAGGTTGAAGGCGAGCTCGAAAGTCCAGCACGAGATCGAACTAGGGTTTTGGCGGAGATCGAAGACGAAGCTCCAGCACGAGACCGAACTTGGGTTGAGATCGAAGACGAAGCTCCAGCACGAGATTGAAGATGAGCTCGAAAGTCCAGCACGAGGTTGAAGAAGAGCTCGAAACGCCAGCGGCCAGCACGAGATCGAAGCGACGAAGACGATTTTTGATTTTTTTCCTTTTGCTGGCGGCGTCGGTGAAACCGTAAGAGATTTAGGGATAGATTTTTTCACTTTTGAGTTTGGGTTTTGGGTTTTGGGTTTCGGGTTTTGTTTTTGGGTTCGGGTTCTTGGGAGCGCCCAGCGCTTTTTTTGGGCTGGAATTTTGAAGCGGCCCGTGTAATCGGCCCGTTTATCCCTGGGCGGCCGCCTAGGCGCTCGCAGCGCCTAATCGCGGCCGCCCAGGGCATTTTGGAACGCTCTGGGCACCGCCTCCGCCTAGGCGGGCGCCTAGGCGGCCGCCCAGAGCGTGTTTTACAACACTGCATACATTCATACCTAATCATAGAAAGTACAATTTCCCTTTCCTCCCAAAATTTCCCACCCTTTAGTGCATCACATACTTTAGATTACCCTCACAAATGTTATCAAAATACATTTTATATTATTTGTTATTTTAACTTTATTATTGATCTACATACTTTTTACTCTTCACAAGTCACGCCACAATCAACAATCTTTAGAAGGCAAGACCATCTGTTAAGAATAATGACTTTTATGGTTATTTTCAGACAACAAGATCTATCATCACATATAGTAATAATATATCATCTATAGTCTATTTTAACACTTCATTCCTACAGTTTATTGAGTTCATTCAATTGTCTACTTCTTTATATAATTTTAACCGCCAACTATATTTCCCAGGCAAAGTGTTAGCAGTGATCAAATGTAATCAATATCGTTGTGCAGCGTATAGATTGTTTATAAAGAAGATAACTTACAAATGCGCATTATGCACAGTCCTTCGAGAATGAGAACTACTTGTTTTTTCGATCCAAGTAATCAACTGAAGCAACTCATTCTTTAAAATGATTATGTCATATCTTTCTATAAGAATGGCTAAACTAGAAAGACAATCAACCTACTTAGCTGAAAAACATGCAATTTCACTGAGTGATCTTCTAATGGCTCCTGCTGTAAGTATCAACACCCAAGGTCTTATTTTACTAATAAATTTGGCTAATGTCTCATTCCCAGAAATAAAAAAGAGCAAACTTTTTTACTGTTTAGAAACATGTCTTTCAAACAACAAAGTTTAATTAACAGATTTGACATGAAGTTGAACTTGTCAAGTTAACGGTGAATTGGATCTTCTGAATTAAAATTGTTGGAAGTAGTTGAATGCAATGCTACTATAATGTGCTAGCAAGTAGTTTAATATTGCAAATATTAAGAATGGTGGTTGTGAACCTTCAATCTTTCAAGTATCCACTGTTTCCTCCTACCACCAATCATAGTTGATGCAAAACTTCGGTTTCGCGGTGTTTGCTTTGATGTTGTAGGTGAAGCTGACAGATGACTTCCTACTGATGCCACAATGCTAGGATTGGTTGCATTCTTGGAGGCGGCAAGTTTAGCATTGTCATTGGCAATAGGAAACTCATGTGTTAAGTTCTGAGGTACCATGCAGCACATTGTTACTTGAGAATCTGCATTGAGACCATCACACGTGTTTAGCAGTTGAGGAACTCCTTGTGCACTGTGAGTTTTCTGCATCTGGGAGTGCAGACCTTCATCTTGAATAGAAGAATCTAACACCTGAACATCTGATGATGACTGGTCATATGGAACTATATCACTACATTTTGTAGAGAGCCCATTTCTGGAAGGAACCTCTTGACATTTGCCAGATAAAGCACCAGCTGAATACAGCTTGTGATTCTGGGGTGTCCAAACTCTATAGACAAGCGTCCTGTTAGGTTTCTCAGGCTCCATGCGCATTCCAAACTTTAAACACATACTAGCAATTCGGGTGTACATTTTTTTAGAATTGAGCCCAAGTCGTTTGCATACCTGCTCATAATATACAAAACATGTGTCAGACATGAGATATACAAAAGTTTGGGACTAGTACATCAGTACATGAATTCATTGTTCTCCACCGAGTTCAATTTCTTATACACACAATAAATAAGCATGCATTAATATTGTTGGAATACAAGCAAAAGCTACTAATAGCTGGCCACACTAATGGAGAATATTATACAGCAGCATCCTGAAACAAGTAAATGACTCTGTAATAGCACATAATAGGTGATGGGAAATCTCATGCCATGGACACAACCAGTCCTTTAAGTGTGAACATTTTCTCCAGTTGCAACAATACCTGAGAATGAGATAAATTTTCTTACCTTGTGATTCACTCTTAAACTTCAATGAAGCTATCATGGATTCATACTCTCAATAACTTCGTTTTTGGCATAAAAGACTGGGTAAAATATTATTACCCAGACAAACATTCTGCAATTATCTAATTAGGATGAGTGGTGCAAGTTGGACATCAATTCAACAACTAGTTTGTAGTCCTTGAAAGTCAGATACTTTAGCTTTGGCTTGGATTCAATTTCCTGCTTCAAATTGGATTCTCAAGTCAGGTATTTAGAGCAGCGTTTGTATGAATGTAACCATGTATCTGCAAGCACCATCCAAGCCATGATAGGGTTATAATTATATCCTAGACTCCTCCTAGGCAAAAGCTTCAAAGATTTATATTTATAAATCAGTGTACAGTGGGTCAAAAGGCCTAGGTAAGAAGAAGATGAAAGAAAGGTATCCCTACAGCCTACAATGACCCCGTCAGACCCAATGCATAGTAAATACCTCATTGATGCCAAAAATGTTGAGAGAATAAAAGCATATAGCTTGTTTCTTCTTTGCTAACTCTTCACATTGATGCTCATCAATCACTTCTCCCTCCCACCTCGATTCTGTCTTTGACTAAAACTCTTCTGGGGAACTTTGGGAAGTAGCAAGTCCTTCATATCAGGTATTCACTATGTTTGATTAATGCCGCATACATAGAAGGCTATCTGAAAGTTTTCTGCATTAGGTTTCAATAATTAGAGAGTGCATTATTTGAAGAAGGTTATTTCTCCATCTCTGTTCTTTACTTCCTCCATCCCATGCTTATTCTCATTTATTTTTTATCCATAATGTTTATATTGAGATTGTAAATGCATAAACTGAGCATATAGTCAACCATATACACAACCTGGAAGATTGGATCACTAGAATTGCAAAAGGAAGGGTTAAGGCGTTAGGTGCACTTTGTGGTCCATAGCCAGAAATGGAGAAGGAATAAATAAATAAATAAGGGATAAATCCTATGAAGCATCAAGCCAACACAAACACACAAAATAACATGTGGTGCCTTTCCCGAGTGTGGCACGTACATGACGGCATGGATGTCCCTGATACTTGTGGATACATATTAAACAATATTTTGATGCTATTGTCGGTACAGCCATGTATTAGTTGCTCCTAATTGTCAGCTCTAAACTTTCAAATTTATACATTTGTAGATATGTACGACTCAAAAGCTTTATTATATAACCAAATGAAGGATAAAGATGCAACATATCATTGGGACCTAGCAACCAGACATGAACAGTAAACTGTGAAGCATGCAAAAGTGGCCAAAAATCTGATAGAATACCTCAAAAACTGTAATTCCTTTAGGTCCTTCAGAATCAACCATATCATATACGCAATTCTCCATGGGCAGTTCAAGAAACTGATCAGTGATATGTCCTCTTTTTCCATGTTTTACTGAAGTTTCAGAGTCAAGACCATCATATGCAGGCGGAGTCGGCTTTGATTGAAAATAATTGCTATCAAACTTTTTCAATAAGCGTAGGCATTCAACATCCTGAAACACTCAAAGAAAACAAGGTCACACAATCAAACATTAGAAAACTAAATGACAGAAAGAAATAGCCAAGTCAAACAAGATTGGAAAGTGCTTCAATGTGCGTGTTCACAAAACAACGGATGTCAGTAAGATAGTTGTACAAAAGAAAATGAAATGAAAAAAATGAAAATTGCAGGTGTATCTAGCAAAGGAAAAATTATACTATAACAAATAATCATTTCTCACTAACCTATATCAATTCACGCCATCTATTTGGTAGATAATGAAAGCAATCAGAAAATGACATGTATTCATCTATCTATTTGATTTCCTTGCTTTCTCCTTGATCTTGGATTTATAGATATGACCTGTGATAACTGTCCTATTTACATATATATTCAAAATATGTTTGCCTAGATATGCAGGACAAATGTTGCATTAGACAAAACATAGAACAGAATGAATATTACATCAGAATGCCTTCACTTTTACTGATATTCCTCAATCTTTCAAGATCAACTAATGTTCACCAGAATCACCACCTTCGTTTCAAATCAAATTCATCTCTACTTATAATGTGAAAGGACAAGCAGCTGGAAGCACATTGTGGGCTTTAAAAAGAAGATGATCCACATCATGTGCCAAGTTATATTACTTTGAAAGAAGCATGAGATTTTGCTGGATTAATCCTCTTAAAGAGTTACCTATGGAAAGCATCATAGCCCAGATTCTTATTTGTCTCCAACACAATTATAGTGCACAAGCACTAACACTTGCCAAAATTAGCGATTCAGGAGCGAAGTTGTAACTCAACAAGTGAGAAAGGGAACATTTCAGATAAATCAACAAAATAATGAGTTTATCACAAGATGTTGATAGTATATGCTACATGATAGACATAATGAACTTGCTATGTCATTACTTCCATTTTTCACATTTAATAATGAAAGGTAAAACATCTTCTGAAATGTTTGTTTTTCCCGATATTTAGCAATAAGAAATTTAGAATTAAAAAACAGGTAACTGGATATGTAAATTCCCAATTATGATGGCTTGACATGCAATCTCATACTGACAATACCAGAAATCCTCCTAAAAGTTTGTATAAGAGATTGATGCTGGTACAAGATAGATATGCTACAATCCACAGATCGGCTCTCTTGTAGTCACAACGCAGACCAACCAAACAGTAAAATCAGAAACTAGGCAACCAAAGCGGTCAACACTTTCAAATGACCACTGAAGAATTATTTAAGCTCCACAGCAAATTTCCAATTGGAGATTCTCGTTACAAATTCCCAAAACAAATTGCATAAATGATCAGTTCTTGCTGTGCGAAGCAGATATAAGCAATAATAAAATCCAGTATGTGTCACGGTAAATACAAACAATTTGGATAAACCAGCTTACACAAACAACAAGAAGTAAATCAAAAGAGAATAAAAAAAGGATGTCAAGAAACACAGTACAACTGGTGAAGAACAAAATGTTGTTACATTGTATTACTGTTTAGCCAATCCATTTTTGATTTTACACATAATAAGGTCACCTACAGGCAATTGGGATGAACCAACTTACATAAACAATAAAAAGTAAATCAAAAGAGAATAAGAAAAAGATATTAACAAAAACACAAGATGACTGGTGAACCCAAAAAAAAATGGAGTGTCGTGTTACTGTTCAATCACCCTATTTTAGGCATAACCATATTACCTACCGCCCCATTGACTTCTGCTTGAAATCTTTTCACAAGGCCAGCATCTTCCAGCCTATTAACGATCTGTAGTTGCATAGAGAAAGGGAGAAGGAAAGAGAAAATAAGACTAAAACTTTTACAATATAAATTAGCACTAATCATTACAGATAAATATGATACATGTTGCGCTAAATAAAGACTTACATTTCTCCATGCTTTATGCCCTCGATATTTCCTATAACCAAGTGCAACCTTGACATCTGATACCACAAGGATCTTCAAGAAAAATAGAACATCAAAAAATACAAAATCAGCACCCGAAGTGAAGGGCTAGCAAAAGGATCAGTGGTAGCTTATTCTTGACCTTCTCATTCGCTTCTTCTAGTTTATCACAGACAGCCTTCATTGCTGGTAGATAATCTTTAATGACCAAATCTTCCTTAACACGTTCTCCATGATGAAAATCTCCATCATAAGTTTTATCTGCCTTGCAAACACTTCCCAACATATCTAGCCCAGCTGGTTTTGTAATCTCAATTCTCTGTTGGGAGTTTAGCAGATTCACGGCTTTCCCATAGCGATACAAGTGTATTAGATTAGTACTAAAATGATTATTTTTTTGCCCATTGACTACTTCATCTCCCACTTCTTTTGCCCTCACTGTAATTGATTGCCTGACAATCAACTGCTGGCTCTCTAGGTTCCGCACTTGGTAAAAGAAGTTGTTGCCTTTAATGCCAAATTCTTTAGCAAGATCGTACTGGGTTATCCCATTGGTTCTGCAAACAGCAAAACAAGGATTAGAATCTAGAGCACAATAATGTGTTTCGCACCTCTTGGATTCCTGGCATAGTTATAACTCGAATTCACAAATAGAATGCTAAATTTACACATATCTTAGTCATATCTTACTTGAAGCGTTTTGACAAACATAGAGAGGACACAATTACCAATTTTCACGATTTCATAGTATATCTGTATTTATCCGTCCATCCAACCAAGTACAAAGGCATGTTCTAAAACAACAGACCTCGGTAGTTTCTTTCCAAGGAAAAGGAGCAAACCAAGACACGAGTGTGATATGTTGTGGGTGGGGTGGGAGGGGGGGGGGGTTATTACCTTTAATCACTTCCACTAATGAAAAAAATGACCATCAGCGGGAGCCGAGGCACATAGGATTCACTGTGGCCCTGGTCCCCCTGGAAATAGAAAAAAGAACCGGGGGTTGTATGCACATATGATGTTTTATTGTATACAACTACATGGGCTAAAATGTAAAGGCCTCAACTTGGAAATAGAAAGAAGAATAGGGGGTTGTATGCATGTCTGAAATTTTATTTCAAACAACTACATGGGCTAAAATGTAAGGCCCTCAATTCTCAAGATAAAAGGCTTACTTAAATGCACTCAAATACCCTATTGTGTCAACTACGTTGCATTTATACACCATCACTTGTTTTTGCCAACACTTAAATAACCCAGTGTTTTCAATGCGCGAGGCACAATGCGGGGTGCAAAGTCAGTTTACGCGCACATGCGCGAGGCACAATGCGGGGCGCAAAGTCAGTTTACGTACATATGCGCAAGGTGCAATGCGATGCACGCACCCGAGCAAAGCGAGGCACACTCCAAACTACAAAATGTGATACCACCAATTTCTATTATCTAATACCACAAAATGTGATACCACCAATTTCTATTATCTAATACCACAAAATGTGATACCACCAATTTCTATTATATAACTGATAAGTGATAATTCCATCATATATCTATTATCTAATACCACCGATTTCAGATTATCCTATCATATTTATTATATAACTCCATCATTAATATTTCTGTTATATCCTATCATATTTTATGCATACTTTATTATCCATTTCGGTAACTTTTTAATCTAACGAGAACAAGTGGTGAATCTGGTGATGATCTTTTGTGAAGTGATAGGATATAATTATGAAACAAATGGTCTTAGCTACAACTCAAACAAATTCATAATCAACAAGAAAAAAGAAAAGGAAAAAGAAGAACGCAACAACAAAAGAAAAGAAAAAAAGAAAAGGAAAAAACATCTGGCTACAGCAGAGAAAGAGAATGCAACAACAAAAGAAAAGAAAAAAAATAAAAAGAAGAAGAAAGAGAACGCAAAAATATCGAGCTCGCTGAGGAGAAAAGAACAGAAAAACGAAAATAAAAAAAGAGGAGCAGAAAAACATCATCGGTAACGTACCTGCTCGCCGTCGCCCGTCACCGCTCGCCGTCGCCGCTCCCGTCACTGCCTGCCGTCGCCGCTAGAGAAGCTTCACTAGTCGTCGCTATCTTGCTACCGAGTGGAGACCCAAATAAAAATCGAGATTCGGGTGTGGGAGAAGAGCGACAAAACCTTAACAAGATAATCGGGTTTAAGTTGGAAGTGGGTTTATACCCAATAACCCACAGAAAAACAGCCATGTTCTCGTACGCGCGCCTCGTCGAAGGCGTCGGGCGCTTCAAGGCGCTTCCTAGGCGCGCGCCCGACGCAAGTGAAGCGCCCCGCACCTGCTGCGGGCGCTATGACGTTGCGCCGAAGCGCTTCGCGCCCGAGGCGCGTGCCCGAGAGCGCATTTAAAAACACTGAAATAACCTAAAGTTTTTAAAAGTCTCACTTATTTATCCTCACTTGTTAACGACAGCACTTATATACCGTGAAGTTTTTAGAACGGGTCGTTTTAAAAAGTTTGGGGTATTTAAGTGTGAGTTTTAAAACTTTAGGTATATAAGTGTTGTCTGCAAAAACAAGTGAAGGTATGTAAGTGCATGTTATAAAAATTTTATGGTACATGAGTGCTGTAAAAAACAAGTAAGAGCATTATGAGCATATAAGTGCAAAGTAAGGGAAACTATAGGGTGTTTAACTACAATTAAGCTAAAATAGAACTCCGCTTCTATTTTATTAATGCAATCGGAGCATTTTGATTCTTGTGATTGTGATCGTGATCGGGCTGCCAAAACAAGTGAAGGTATGTAAGTGTATGTTATAAAAATTTTATGGTACATGAGTGCTGCAAAAAACAAGTGAGAGCATGTAAGTGTAAAGTAGGGGAAACTATAGGGTGTTTAACTACAATTAAGCCAAAATAGAACTCCGCTTCTATTTTATTCATGCAATCGGAGCATTTTGATTCTTGTGATCGTGATCGTGATCGGGCCCTCCACAGACCACGATGCTGAACAGTCCCACCTTCTCACCCATTTCTGGCCTTATTCGCTATTGTAACCCCTATATTATAGTTCGAAGTATGATTTTGAAAGTCTAAGCAGATAATTAAGTTCAGATACTAATCACTTGTGTTCAAAGTTCATATATGTTATCGTGTTTGATAATTTTTGGAGCCCCCTTGCCAAAATTCCTAGCTCTGTCACTGACCATCAGATTAACCATCAAATGAAAATGAAAATTAGATAAGTACCTTCTCTTAGATCATTAAACAATAGTAAGAAACTTAAGCTATAACTTCTCATCCAACTTTTGGGTCGTGTATCAGATGTTGTGTACTTAAACTGCTTTTTTGCTCCTGATATGGTGTATGTGTCACGGGCTGATTCTTTTACCACGAACCTCGCTCAAACCCGTGCTAAGTCAGTCTAATCCCTCAAACACTCACTCAAGAGAAGGGAAGAGAACACTCAAGAGTGAAAGTGGAAGCTCTTATTGCTTTATTGCTTAGCAACTCTTGCTTGATACAAATGAAATGCCTTAGCCCCTATCTATAGGCAAGGCTAGCTTACAATGGATGGCTATGATTAGCCTTCTAGATTGTTCCTACAATCAATGGTTAGGATTGAGTCTCTAGACTCTTCTCCTAAAATATCTCCCTAGATATTTACATGGGACTTTCCTAGAATCTTCTAGATACAAGATATTTGTCATATGCAAAAAAACTCTAGAAAACCCTAGGAGCTCTATGGTCCCAACCTTTAATAAGTGAGTCCAAATGCACCCAATTGAGCCAAAATGGGGCAGTTCGTGACATTCCCCCCCACCTATCCAAGCGATGCCCTCATCGCTTAGTCTTCTCCTGGCGAAACTTCTCGATCAAGTCTTCAAACTGCCACAAGGATCGCGCAGGTTCCCAACTGTTCTCACTGTCTGGCAAGTCTTTCCACTTCACAAAATACTCCAACCTCGGGTGGTTGTTGGCTTCACGAACCGTCCTATCCGCAAGAATTTCTTCGGCCTCCTTGTCGAACTCCGTACGAATCCCTGTTGGCGCTCGACTAGACTTTTCTCTATCTGGATCTTCTGTATCTTGATGATATGGCTTTAACATGCTCACATGGAAGACCGGATGATACTTCACAGTTGGGGGAAGCTTTACCCTATAAGCCACGTTCCCCACTCTCTTCTCGATTGGAAATGTGCCCTCATACTTGCGTATCAAGCTCTTGTGTAGCCCTTTATGTCGATCCAATGTAGAAAGCTTGACAAGGATCAAGTCTCCAACTTGATACTCCATATGCCTTTGCTTCTTGTCGGCCTATTTCTTCATATTCTTTGTCGCCTTGTTCAAGCACGAGCGTGCCAATTCGTTCTGATCTTGCCACCCCTTGGCAAATCGGTAAGCGACTGGGCTATTTCCCTTATAACATGTAGCAATAGCGTTTGGAGTGAGTGGTTGCTGACCTGTGACGATCTCGAATGGGCTCCTCCCGGTAGACTCACTCTTTTACAAATTGTAGGAGAATTGGGCTATGTCCAGTAGCTTCGCCCAATCCTGCTGATTGGCACTCACATAGTGTCTCAAGTATACCTCCAACAAGGCGTTTACCCGCTCCGTCTAGCCATCTGTCTGAGGGTGGAAGCTAGTGGAGAAGTTTAGATCTGACCCCATGAGTTTGAAGAGTTCTGTCCAGAACCTTCCTGTGAAGCGACCATCCCGATCGCTTATGATGGACTTTGGTAGCCCCCAATACTTCACCACATGCTTCAGAAATAGTGATGCCGCTATCTCGGCTGGACATTTGGCTGGGGCTGGAATGAAAATACCGTATTTAGAGAACCGGTCAACCACCACCATAAGAATGCTGCATCCATCTGACTTGGGTAGACCCATGATGAAGTCCATGAAAATGCTTTTCCAAGGTCTCTCCGGAATAGGTAATGGTTCTAACAATCCGGTCGGCGTTATCTGCTCTGTCTTATCTTATTGGCACACAAGACAAGTCTTTACGTAGGCCTCAACATCATCCCTTATGCGAGGCCAATAATACGTCTCTTCTACAATAGCTAGAGTTCCGTGCACACCTGGATGTCCCGCCCATTGAGAGTCATGACATTCTTTAAGGATCTCCCGTCTTAGATTCCCGAACATTGGCACGTACACCCGTCTCCCATTGGTATAAAGCAGGTCTCCTTCTAGCCAGAACCTTCGAGTTTTGCCTTCTTTTGCGTAGTCCACCATGTTCTTGGTTGTAGGATCATGAGACAAACCTTCCTTAATACGATCAAGTAAGGTGCTCCGAGGATGACTTATCATAACAGCAAGTTCCGTCTTCCGGCTTAACGCATCTGCCACTAAGTTGATTTTTCCCGGTTTGTACTCGAGCACATAGTCAAACTCTGCCAAGAAATCCTGCCATCGTGCCTGCTTAGGAGATAACTTCTTCTGAGTCTGGAAATAGCTGGTGACCACATTGTCTGTCTTTACTACGAATTTGGACCCAAGTAGGTAATGCCTCCAAACTCTGAGACAGTGGACCACGACCGTCATCTCCTTCTCTAGAACGGTTTACTGTCTCTCGGTGTCGTTTAACTTTCGACTCTCGTAGGCCACGGGGTAGCCTTCTTGCATCAACACCCCTCCAATTGCGAAGTCACTCGCATCAGTGTGCACTTCATAGGGCTTGCTGAAGTTGGGAAGAGCAAGAACTGGTTCCTCCGTCACAGCTCTCTTTAAAGCTTCGAATGCCCTCTGGCATTTTGAACTCCAATCTCATGCCTGATTTTTCTTCAGCAAGTCTGTCAGTGGAGCCGCCAATGCTGAGTAGCTCTTTATGAATCTTCGATAGTAGTTCACCAAGCCTAGAAATGATCGCAGCTCTGTCACCTTGGTAGGAGGCTCCCATTCTAGTATGGCTCGCACCTTAGCTTGATCCATACGAATTTTGCCTCCTCCAATGATGTGGCCTAAGAAGACCACCTCCTCCTGCCCGAACAAGCATTTTTCTCTCTTCACATAGAGTTCATTACTTCTAAGCGCCTGGAATACCTGCCTCAAGTGTTCCACATGCTCGTCTATGGTTTGGCTATAAATCATAATGTCGTCCAAGTAGACCACCACGAAATGGTCTAGGAAAGGCTCCAACACTTTGTTCATCATGGTGCAGAATGTAGCTGGAGCATTGGTGAGACCGAACGACATAACCAGGAATTCATAAGAATCGTACCTGGTTACACATGTCGTCTTTGGTTCATCTCCTTCAGCAATCCGTACTTGATAGTATCTCGAGCGCAAGTCAAGCTTAGTGAAGTACCTTGCCTGCCCCAATCTGTCGAATAAGTCCGTAATCAGAGGAATGGGATACTTGTTCTTCACCGTGATCTTGTTTAAAGCCCGATGGTGGATGCATAGCCGTAATGACCCATCGTGCTTCTTCTGGAATAATACAGGGGCACCATATGGAGCCTTAGACGGACGAATGTATCCGGCATCCAGCAACTCCTTCAGTTGTTTTTGAAGTTCCTCCAACTCCGATGGTGCCATGCGATAAGGTCCCATGGTTGGGGGATGAGCTCCTGACTCGAGCTCGATATTATGATCTACCTCTCTCCTAGGTGGGAGCTCACTTGGCAGCTTTGCGGGCATGATGTCGTGGTAGTCCTCCAAGACGCTTCAGATTTTCTCGGGCACGTCTTCTCCCTGGTGTGAGTCTTCCTCCACCTTGACTGTAGTAATAAAAGTTGGCTCATGTCGACGGATGCCCTTGGACACTTGTAAGGCCGAGAGCATTTTAAAAGTCACACTCTCGCGCTTGATCGGAACTGTGCACACCTTGCCCTCTAGGATGCACATTGTGTTGGTGTATGGAACCAACACGGCCTTCACCTTGTCCAAAAATTCCAAGCCAAGTACTACGTCAAAGTCGTCCATGGTCACGACCGTCAAGTCTTCTTGGCCGCATCATTCTCCGATGCTTACATCTACCTTCTGAGCCACGCCAACGATAGGAGTGGGACTTGAATTGACAGCTTTGATGACACCCCCTCCCTTGGTGATCTTAAGATTCAACCTAGTAGCAACATCGCGAGAAACCAAGAGATGAGAAGCACCAGTATCTAGAAGGGCCTTGAAGGTTTTATCAGAAATGGTTGTCTCAATGAACATCGTCCCCCGAGGTCTTGCATCCACTTTTGCCTTGATTGCATTGAGGAGACGAAGTGAGTTGATTCGGGTCACCTCATTTTGCTTCTCCTCTTCCTTCTGAACTAGGACCGCAAGATTGGCCTTCTTGAGACAGTTCATAGCCTTATGTGGACCGCTACAGAAGTAGCATGCCAACTTTTTTGAACAGTCACCTCCTTTAGAGTTGTCATAGGATTTACCCTTCTCGGACGTTGACTTAGGTGGGAACTCTTTGGATGGCTTATCCTTTTCTCCCCCACTTTTAGTAAGCGTACCATTTTTATCATTTGGCTTAGACGAGTTGTTCACCTTCTTGAACTCGATCAGCGACTCGGCTACTTGCATTGCTTGGGCCAGAGTCTGAACGCCACGCCTTTGTAACTCCATCTTGGCCCATCCCGCGAGGCCATCCATGAACGAGAATAGAGAGTCCTTCTCGCCCATGTCTGAAATCTCCAGCAGCAACTCTGAAAATTCTTTCACGTAATCACGAATTGAACCATTTTGAGTAAGACGACGGAGTTTACCTCGTGCCTCATCCTCAGCATTCTCCGGGTAGAATTGCCGCTTTAGATCTGCCTTGAATTCTTCCCAAATAGTAATAGAGCACGTACCCTTTTTCGTATCCTCGCATCGTCTACGCCACCACAACGTAGCGATGTCTTTGAGATAGAGAGGTATGGCTTGGAGCTTGGCTACATCATCCCTATATCCGGCAGCATTGAAGTATACTTCCATGTTCCATAGGAAGTTATCAATCTCCCGGGCACCCCTAGCTCCTTTATACGGCTTCGGTTTAGGAGTATCTTTAGCCATGAAAGGTTATGAAATCATACCTCGAGTTGCCAAGATAGCATCATATTGGCTAAACTTTTCTTTAAATTCAGCCATCTCCTTCAGGAACATTTCTCCTTGGCTCCGTAAGAATGCACACTCCTCACGTACGGATGTGATCCCTTGCTATAGCATGTCGACGGCGGAATTCAAGACCGACTGCATCTCCTCCCTAAGTTCGTCTCCTGCAGACTCCAACTTCTCGATGCGCTCGTCGAAAGCCTCCATCTTATCCGTCACGGTAAGCTCCACCTTAGCCAACCGTGCCTCCAACGTCGTCATGATGTCGCGAGATTTATCCCTACGTTGCCTTGGAATATCCTTCGGATCCACCGCACCAAGTACTTCGGAACGAAGGTCGGAGCTCGACATTATCACTTCCGAACCTCACCACGAACCTCGCTCGATCCCGTGCGGTACTTAGTCAGTCTTTCCCTCACTAGAATGGCTAAGTCAGCCTAATCCCTCAAACACTCACTCAAGAGAAGGGAAGAGAACACTCAAGAGTGGAAGTGGAAGCTCTTATTGCTTTATTGCTTAGCAACTCTTGCTTGATACAAATGAAATGCCTTAGCCCCTATTTATAGGCAAGGCTAGCTTACAATGGATGGCTATGATTAGCCTTCTAGATTGTTCCTACAATCAATGGTTAGTATTGAGTCTCTAGACTCTTCTCCTAAAATATCTCCCTAGATATTTACATGGGTCTTTCCTAGAATCTTCTAGATACATGATATTTATCATATGCAAGAAAACTCTAGAAAACCCTAGGAGCTCTATAGTCCCAACCTTTAATAAGTGAGTCCAAATGCACTCAATTGAGCCAAAATGGGGCGGTTCGTGACATATGCTGGTGGATATAATGTATACTTCCTGTCAATATTTGCCTTGTTTTGCTCAGGCAAAGCAAGAGGCAGAGCTAGAGTGTGCTTGGGGGTATTCGTTGTATAGTTTGCATTAAATGAGAATAAAAATACAGTTTCACAAGTTCTGGTGTTTGTTTTATAAAAAGTGTGAAAGTGAAATGTGAAAAAAAAAATGGTCCACACCACATTCAATGCATATTTAGATTTTCCTGAGAAAGTGTTAATGTCACCGGAAGATGGAAAAATGGGGATCACTCTAAATTAAAATATTTCAATTTATTAAAGGTCGTTAAAAGTATAATATAATTGCAAAATAAAATAAAATGAAATTGCAATCATCTTTACTTTTATTTTATTTTATTTTCGTCAGTGTCATTTTTTCTAGTTTCAACAATAATTCGTTTTCGCAAACAAACACTATATGGCAATTGCATGTTGACGTGGATGTACTTTCACGCTTGCAAAGAAGTTACTCTCAGGGTTTCAATTCACTTTCAGTTCACCAAATACCCCCTTACTGTGAGCATTACCCTGACCAAAGCTTTTATCCCCCTAGTATGATTCAAATTCAACCTTCAAACGTTTAAAAAGAAAGAAAAAAAAAACAAACCTTGCAGCAGCAATTCGATCAAGAGTCCGCCGCTGCTCCTCTGAAATCTTAGCATTAGCCGCATTCAAATCATCAAGCCCGACAAAGCTACTCCTAAGCTCCTCATCCGCAACAATCCTCAGCCCTAACCCCTCCGCCTCGTCCAAACACTCAATCCTCGAATCCCGGCTCTCAACCGAACCCCCATCACTGTCGAATCGAAGCACGGGGAGAGAGACAAGCCGATTCCAGATCGTCCTTTTAATGGGAGCAGAAAGAGGGAGGTTAGAAGACGAGAGGACGGGGCCTAAGCTTCGGCAGAGATCGTAGACGAGGATTCCGTTGGCGCCACGAGCGCAGATCTCCTCGAGAGCGGAGTTGATGATGGAATCCATGGACACTGCGATTGCATTGGAGATTTAGGTTTTTTTTTTAGGGTTTTAGGGTTTCGAGAAACTTCGTCGGGGCTTCATCGGCGTTGGTTTAGGGTTTCGATTGGAGAATACGGCGGCGGATTTTTGCTGCGGATTTTTGCTGGTGGTGTTGCGTTTGGGGTTGAGGGTTTTGGCGGGGATCGGCGAAGATGAAGAAGAAGGGCGGCGTAGGGTTTGCCTTTGAGGTCGGGGGTTCGAAGGGTTGAGATGGATGGTTTTTGTTTTGATTTATTTGAGATTACGGAGAGGGTTAACCTTCGAGTTTGTGATTTATAGAGGGATTAATTGCATTTTAATATCCTAAATTTTAATTGAATTTTTACCTTATATTCAAGGGTTTAAATTTACTTTTCCTACTTTAACATTCGGAGTTTTATTTTACAAAACACTGAGATTTGATATTTGAGCACAACAATATTGACGACAAGAATTGAAAGAAAATCGTAATTGAATGAAATAATTGACGAGAAAATATGTTCAGGCAAAGATCCAACAATGATGTAACATAAGTTAAAGGGGGTGTTCTTTGGTGTATTATTTGGAAAAATTTATATTTGCTGGTACTAAATTTGAAGATGGACAAAAACACATTGCGTCAAATTAAAGTTAAGACATTTTCAACTACACAACCTGCAAATTACATTGAGGTTTACTTATTGTGATCGGTTTTTGTGTTTGGAAACGGCAAGGATTATGTTCACTTTCTTAATAAATACGTAGGTTATCTCTTACCTAGTCAAAATAGATGTATTTGTAACCCCCTCTAGAGGAATTTGTAAACATCTCTTCGACTTTTTGTGGTTGACAAATTAAGAAGGGGTTAGCATAGTTTATACCTTATATAATTCTTTGCGTTTGACATGCTATGGAGTAAAGGACTGGTTAACTCTCCATAATCCCTCACTTAACTCTCCGCCAAACGATGACAATGTTTCATAACTATTATTCAAAACTAACGCATAATCGCTAGGTTACGCTCTGAAACTTGATCCGAACTCGACGAACTAATTTTTCTCAAATTTTCAGACCTTGATCCAAATATATAGCAAGAGCTTTCAGTTTGCACTTTGCCAAGCGTACACTTTCCAGGGTTTGAAGTGTGAGTTTTAAAATGACATTGTATCAAGTCCAAGTATTTGTTCATGAGAAAATAACATGTTTCATTAAAAAAAAACCTCATAAGAAAAAGATTCAGCAGCCATGACAACAGTCACAAATATTATCACACTATAAATAAACTGCTAGTGAAGAGTGAAACCATCATCATAGGAAACATGCCACCCGCGTTTACAAGGGGAAGCATCCTCTTCATACTCTGCGCAACAACTCCACCTCCTCCTCCAGTTTGCACTCCCAGTGTTGGGTCTACTAGTTTTCTCATTCCATTTGTAAACTATAACGCCACTTTTATCGCTCCACTCACCATCAATCCCTTGGTGAGGGGGAGCATATGAGAATAACCCCTTCTCACCTGCACCAATACAACAAAAAACACCACTTAGTATCTATGAGAAAAAAGGAACACGAAGAATCGGAAGCGAGAATCTCCTCATGCGTTACATAGATGCAGTGGGTGGATCTACATAGCGTCCGGTGGCGTCACAAGACACCATGGGATCCACCGCTGGATTTATTCTGATGAAGCTTGTCGCGTGATACCAATTATCCACTGCTGGCATACATGATACAATCCTAGATCTGCCATTGAACCGCTGATATTAGTGTAAATTGGTACGCGACACATCTAAGATGTTTTGAGCCACTTTACCTTATTTGCTTTTATATAGCTATTCTGTCACCCTTTGGCTCCTTGACTTAAGTTTAGGATTATATTAACAATGTATTTCAGTAGATTGGATAATTTTCTCATATTATGTGATATGTTTCTGTTTCGTTTAAAGTTTATAACCCGTTTTCTCTTAAGATAAATAGTTTAAATAATAATTTGTGCAAACCCCCTAAAATAGTCGATTAATATCTAAATATCCGAATCCCCAACCCCTAACCCCCCAATAAGGGAGGTTTTTTGATAAAATCTCAGTTAAAAATGAATTTCTGATAAAAGTTTGAAGTGTTAGGTTTCGACCTAAATAACCCTAACATACCAAAATATGAGATGTGGGCATTGGTTTAGTAACTAAATGTTAGCGTAGCAGTTTGGGGGTGTATTNTTTTTTTTTTTTTTTTTTTGGGGGGGGGGGGAAGGGGTTTGGGTTGGGGGAGGTAGTAGTTAGAGAAGGGCAAAATGACCAGATTGGTATATTTTGTAAATGCTTTGTGACATGTTGGTATATTTTCTTTTAGTTTTGTCAGATTGGTATATTTTGTAGACTCCGACGCCATATAGCCTTTAAATTTGGCCTGAGTTACTATTTCGACCAGTGCTGATGGGATTTTTTGCATAAAAGCTCTCATCAAAAATCCATTCTGCTCCTACCCCCTCCCCCTCTCCTCCTCTTCAATCTCCCCATCTCCCTCATTCTTCTCTTCCTCCTCCTCCTCATCCTCTTCAAGCACCATCACAAGCATCATCTCCATGCTTTTCCCTCAGCAGCTTCAACATGTTTCCATTCATCTCAACAAGAAGAACAAGTCGTAAAGTGTGTAGTTGCAACAACACTCATTCACATGATTTGTAAACTAAAATATACTAAATACTCATAAATAACACCACAAAAGCTAACCTTCACCCCAAGTAACCAATTTTGATCTTAAAAAAACACCAAATGCTTGTCCATTAAAGAGAAATTACTGCGTAATAAAAAAAATCAGACAAAGAGAAGGAGAATCAAGTAACAAACCACATAATTGGACTCATCGTCATTATCCAAGCTATCCTCAGTAACTGCATCGCGATCCACATCACTGATCCCCTCAATCTCCCTATTTCGTCCATCGACAGTGTTGAGATCGTGCATCGAGCTCTCGATGAACGAATTCGACGAGGAGGAGGGGGAGGTTGAAGAGGATGAGGAGGAAGAGGAGGAGGAGGAAGAGGATGAGGAGGAGGAGGGAGAGGGGGAGGTTGAAGAGGATGAGGAGGAGGGGGGGGAGGGGGTTAGGAGCAGGATGGATTTTTGATGAGGGGTTTTATGTAAAAAATCCCATCAGCACTGGTCGGAATAGTAACTTCGGCCAAATTTAAGGGCTATATGACGTCGGAGTCTATAAAATTTACCAATTTGACAAAACTAAAATAAAATATACCAACATGTCACCAAACCTCTACAAAATATACCAATCTGACCATTTTGCCGTTAGAGAAGTTATTTGTAGTGAGTATATATAATTCTCCTCACTTCTTGCTAATCTCTCTTCTACAATCTCCTCTCACTCTATCGGCCCTCTATCAGCTTTCTGCTCTAAATCGCCATATTGTTCGCATCTCTATTTCTCTACCGCCCCCCCCCCCAACAACAACTTAGTCTCTTTCTCGGATCAAGACAAGATGGTTGGATGTGATTATGAAAATGTCTGTAACATAAAGTTAAAGGGAGGTTTTGGGAGGTTCTCTGATATTTTCAAAGTCATGGGGGGTTATCCGACAATTACCCAGACTTACTCTGGGAGGGAAAAACAAAAACGCTTAAGGGCCCGTTTGGATGGATACTTTGCCTCGAAAATTGGGAGGAAAGTTGTCAAACTGATAGTTTTTTTGGCATCTTTCCCCCAAAATCGCCTCTTTTTAAGAGACGATTTAAAAAAAAACGATTTTTGGGGAAAGCTGCCAAAAAGCTGCCTTTTTGGCAGCTTTCCTCCTAATTTTCGAGGCAAAATACTTCGTCCAAACGGGCCCTAAGCAACTAAAATCAATTCGGGTCGGATCCGATGGAAACGAGAAAACCGTACCCGTGGCGTGGCCGTGGAAGGAGCAAGCAACGGGAGAGTTCTCCCTGTCTTCGTACAGATTCCCGCATCTCAAGCATCTCTTCTTCTTATTATCTGCCACGCAAGCAACAGGATTCGGGTTCCGGTTTCGGGTCGCCCCAGCGTAGGAGGATCCATTAACAGCTGCTGAGATTTGGAATCGAGGGAGGCCACAGCAAGCCGAGGCCATGGAGGGAATAGCGGCAGAGAGTAGACCTCGCTTCGTTACCTCATCCTCTCGCTTTATGTTTTGGATTGCGGATTCGGGTACGTTTGAATATCATTATTTTCGCTGTTTATAAGAAGGCCCATGAACTGCTCGTCGAAATGCTTCAATGAGATTGATGCTTGTGGACAAGTTGTTCAAATATTCCCACTTTGTTCTTGGTTTTGTCAATTTTGTGCTGTTCATAAGAATGCCCACCAACTGTTTGTTCAAATGTTTCAATGAGATTGCTTTTCTAATGATAATATATATATATATATATCTATATCAAAGTTTGCATTATATGCTTGCTTGGTTCTAGCTCTGTCATTGATGCTTCCTGTAAGGATGCCCACCAACTGTTTGGTCAAATGTTTTAGTGATTCTCATGTGAAAGTTAAGCCATAATATCCTCACTTGGTTCTAGTTTTGTCATTGATGCTACTTATGATAATGATCCGTGAAAGTTAAGCCATAATATCCTCACTTGGTTCTAGTTTTGTCATTGATGCTACTTATGATAATGATCATCAACTGTTTGTTCCTTGGTTCTAGTTTTGTCATTGATGCTACTTATGATAATGATCATCAACTGTTTGTTCAACTTTTCAATGTGATTACATTTAGTATGACTGTGTACTCTCACAAACTTCAGTGTGCCTAACATTGGTAATTATTACTGAATGTTGTTTTATGTTATTAGTGGACAATTGATAATACACACGCGCGCGCGCGCACACTACAGTTACGTACAATCACAGAATTTGTTGAGCTCGTCTTTTATAGTTTTTTTGGTAGTTTCGATTTGTTCTGAGACTTTATAGTCCACTATGTTTGGACTCGTGATTCGGAATTAAGGAGATCGCTTAACATCTTGTCACTTGATCTAGCGTATTCCTGTTATTGGGTGACTTGGAGGATGGTTCTTGGTTGCATGAACTTTTTCTGCATGACTGTAAAAAGTTAGTTCAGCATTTTGACGTATGGAATCTTGCACGATGGTAAGGCATTTAATTAGGCTTTGAGGTGATGAGCTGAATGTGGCTATGCAGAACTTGCAGCAGAGATAAGGAGAATATAATTGTAATCTTATGAATATGAAAGAAGCCAATGTTCTCTCATGCTATGGATCCTGGGCTTAAACTACGATGGAATTTTAAATCATTATTTGAAGTTGAGCCTATTTAAGATTAGAGATGAGGAGAATATGGGCCCGATCAGGAATATGAAAGGAATGTCCATGATCTTGTGTCGAGGATCATGGAGATAGATAAAAGTTGATTGAAGTATGAAACGAGGTTCCATTAACAACTGTATAGGTACATTTGTTTCTTAAGACTTTAAACGCCAATAGTAGAAGTATGTAGTAATAACTATTATAGAGAATGGAAATATTAAGCAAAAAAAAAGCATTAATTTACACAATGGTATATATAAGAAATTTAAAAAATAAATCTTTTAGAAATGTACTTGGCTAGTGTAATCGTACTTTTGGCAAAAAAGACGAGCAATCCATTACCATTGATGCACAAATGCATTACTTGTATATATACATATGTAGCTATGTGCATGTGGGGGTGGGGAGGGGAAGGAGGGGGTCTAGACTCCTCAATTCTGCTGCTGCAGAGTTCTTGAAGAAGAGCCTTTTCAATAGCCAGTCATGCATAGGAGACTGGCCAAGATTGAAGTATAGACCCTTTGACCCATAGTGACCCCTCAAGTTGGCAGGGGCACATGATCATAGCCAATTTGGTAGCTTCATCATTTGTAACATAGGATCAAATGTACCAGAGGGTACAAAAAAATGGTATGATCCCCCCGAACAATAAACCCCCCAAAGACTAGTAACTGGACTTTCCAGGCAACTTTTGTGGGGCACATCAATAGCATGGGGTTCAGAGATAGGACCAAGATGGTATATAAAATAACATCATAAGATAAGTAACGGAAGCTATGGCACCCATCAGGATGTATTCTGAATCATTAGAAAGTAGGATAATCACAGGGGAACTATGTAGGCAAAAATAATCTTAAATCACTTCAAAGTATATGACATAGCTGGCTAAATGCAAAAAAATCCAATAATGGGCAAAACCTCAAAGGTGTATCAGTCATACTTAGAGGATTTTGTGATACTGGCACTCAATGTGAAGTTCCACCTGCATAATTAAGAGGTTGTGATATGTAAATCCTGGTCAAACTAGCAGATGAATGCATATATACTCATATAATCAACATATGACATGATCAATGTGGATCAATAACATTATCATTATTGTTGCTTTCGATGACCAACAGTGCTTAATGGAAATTGACAATTTACCAATGCTTGGCTTGTGATATTAGAATGCTTGTGTGGAATAAATCTTCACTCGCCTAATAGATGCCTCTTTCACTTGAGAAATACTGGACCAGATCAGAAATGAAGTGTGCATTCTTAGTCAACTCTTTCTTCCCAATTTATTCCTTTATACCTTTATAACTCTCTTTCAATTGATACTGCCTTGAGAGTTGCGGGATTTTTTTAAAGATGATTTGTCTAAATAATAGGAGTCATCACATGCTTCATTGCATCAAAGTGAGGCATTTGGCATCAATATAGGTAGATTCGTTTATAGGCATATGAAAGTAATATCTACATTCGAATTTTTTGAGTTTTGTATAAAAGACACATATATCTTAACCCATATATGTATTATTATAATTAAATAAATAAAAGGGCAGCCAAGTGCAGGATGATCCTATCATTGTGGCGTTTGGGAAGGGTCAGATTTAACCGACATGTGAAGAGGCCGACTCAAACCCACAACCTGCAGGGCACAATGACTAACCTTAGACTAACCTTACCGTTGCACAAAGGCTCATCCTCAACCAATCAAGTCCTAACGAAATAAATGAATATTATAAATACATGTGAATGGTTACCATATTGACCAATCAGGTTTGAGCATTTTGGCAAACGCGGAGAACTTTTGTAGTTCGGGGAAAAGGTAGCCATCGATGTACACGTATATCCTCACACCAAAAACAGAGAAGGTGTTCCCGCGGTTTTTTGCTGGCATTGCCCCTCCAGTGTTCAAGTCAATATCTTTCTTCGAATATTCTGCTAGCAAAAGAAATAAGTGATGTTTTTGTGTGTTTCTTATGTCTTACCTGCCTCTCTTACTGGAGTGTGTTTCTATGCATGTTGAGTAGTTGTTTTGACTATATCTAAATATTTCACCAAATTTAGATAAAAGAATGATAAGGGCAACAACTTGCCAGTATGGACTCTTAAGGCCAACCATACTCGCATGCTAATCTTCGTCATATTCACTTTACACGTCATGTCACCAACTCAGCGTTCCCTGACCTCTTGCGACCTCTTGCGTCCATAGTCTCACAACGGGTTGTTGACCTTTCTCGCTCGGTTTATCTCCCAGGGTTGTTTTGCGATCTGCTGGATCATTTTGAGCTCAGAGGTTATTGGAGGATTTTACAATATGCATATTAAATTACAATATCATATATTCATATTTAGACCAGCATCACAGAGCATATATTAGACTCAACAAATACTACAGTTCCCACACCTGCTCCATCTACAAGTTGACATTGAACTGAACAAGCATTACATGGTGCTGATACTAATTTATATTCACTTAAACTAATCCGGAAATGAAGGAAATTTAGATATTTCGATTAGCAATTTACATTATTAGAAGGTATTTGCTAGATGACTTTCAAGAGCAACTCGATAATTTGAAGGATACAATTGTCTGCAAAGAACCATTTCCATGTGACTTATAGCTGGTTCTTAACCCCCTTTCTCCTTGGATAGAATGTACATAGAAGTTCAAGGTCCCAACTTGATTCTTTTGATACATTTGGAGATCAACAACACCACTTTTGGAAGTTTTGGAAAAAGAGTAGTTGTCTTAGGCAAAGAAAATATGCTCTTCTTAAACCACAGCAAGGTTCCCCGCACCAAAAAAAAAAAAAAACCGTTAAAACAAACAATGACTCCCAGGTCATGAAAGGACTGGTTAGACTGTCTCTCGAGATCAGTTTGAAAACACTGATCGAACATGGAGTATACGGGAGAAAATCAGACTCATGCTATCTAAAGAAATTTGGATATATATGCTTCTTGCATTTAATCAAAGATTCAATATGAAATATTCATCGGACCAGCTTAAGTTGCATCATCATGTGTTAAAAAAGCACTATGGAATTGTAAAAACAATTCTATTTAATAATGGCTTTGGATGGGATCATATAATCAAAAATTGCTGCTGCTGATACTCAAGATCAATATCCTGAGGTAACTAAACTTAGATAATTATTCTTCACTAGTTTCAGGCCCGTGCGATGCACGGATTTATTTAATATACAAAAATTGATGTAGCAAAAGAATGCAAACTAGTTTCAGGCCCGTGCGATGCACGGATTTATTTAATATACAAAAATTGATGTAGCAAAAGAATGCAAAATAAAACAGTAATAATATATAAGTAGTCAGAAATGATACAACCTAAGCTGCATATATGTTTGACTTACTATTAAACTGTAAAAAAGAATCAAAATATAATTTCCTTATTATCATAACAAAATAGATGAAATGTCTCATGTCAATATGATTAATGTTATAATATTTTGCTATACCAAGTAATTAGTATGCAACATAAAGTTTAGTTCCAAACGAAATATTTAAAGCACCTAGAGATACCTGTCAAGTATATAAATCTATGAATCAAGACAATAATTATCAATCTATTGATATACAAAATATCTATCATAATCATATCAATTAGTTATGTTTCTCAACGTAAAACCACCAAAAAAATATGTAATGCATACAAAAGTTTACTAAATAAGGTTTTAGACCAGAATACTAAATATAAGTTTTAGACATCATGAATATGCATACAAAAGTTTACTAAATAAGGTTTTAGACCAGAATACTAAATATAAGTTTTAGACATCATGAATCAGATATAGATTTATCAAAAAGGAGCTTGAACTCTCTGTAGAATCTTCTAATTCTCTTTTTCAATCTTGATTTGTTTTTGCTTTTTGTTGCTAGACATTTACGGAGAAATCAAGTCTACTGAAACTAAGTGCTCGACATCAGAGTCCAACAAATTGCTCTTGCAAGGAGTAATGTTATCCGAGGAACAAATTTCAAATTCATTGTCACCAGTGACCGATTGCGAGCCTTGTGTTTAAGTATAACATAATAGTTAGCATGTTAATGAGTTGGCAGGAAAAGATTGTTGATTTGTTGTACAATTAATGTGAAGAATCAAGAAATCAATATTAAAGCGAAAAGAAATATGCAATCCAAAGTGATAATGATGAAAGTTGTAGCAACAAAAGATACTACTCAAAAAGATAATAAAGAATTTGGTATCATACTAAGAAGGATTACTGTGACAACCTATAATCAGAAATCTTCTCGGTGAATTCCAGTAATTAAGCTAGTTACTTCTCTCAATTAATCTATGGTTAAGTTTTTCATGATCAAGTAAATACATGGTTCAATTAAGTATTTAAAATTTTTTAATGTGTACATCAAGGAGAATGTGGTGGAAGTTTTTGATGCAAAGTGTCAAAAGTTAATTAGAAGCTTCACGTGATTGATAATGAGTCATTGACAAATAGAACACAAGCCAGAAATAAAACATTAAGAACATATTCTACACATTCTGGGAAAATAAAGGCATGTTTATTTTATCTATTTAGTTAGCATACTAATAAGATATAAACAAAAGATTTTTACACTGTTAATGTGAAGAATCAATAGAACAATAATAAAACGAAATACAAAGTAATAAAGGTGAAAGAAGCAGCAACATCAAAAGAGCATTTGAAAAATAAGTATTATGAAATATACAGTAAAAGAGAATTTGAGAGTTTTACCTTGTCAGGTTGTCCCCTTGATTATGGAGAGAGGTGTTGAGGTGTTACTATAAGTATTAGTTTTGGTCATAGTTATAATTGGATGTAGGTTGTACATATAATGCTTTTGGTATGACATCTATAATTTCCTTTCATTTCACAAAAAAATACAAACATGAGAAATGAAAAAGAAAAATAATACTAAGTGTATTGACTTACATTATCAAGATCATCTTTCTTTTTGGAAGATTCAGCTTCATTAGTGAAATATTCTTGACCTGTCGACTCCTAATTATTTGGAAGGAAAAAATATTACTAATATATTGCTCAACCTCATCTATATATGCATATTGATACATGAAATGAATAGATAAGTAGCTCTATAAAAGAATGGAAATATGTAATGTAATGTACCTTGTTCAAATCTAAGCTGTCTCTGAAAGCTGCTATCAGATTTTCGTCATCAGTCATTTTAGAGACAGAAAATACAAGCCAATTTTGATTGAGATTGAATTATGAAACTTGAATCTTGAACAAAAGTTTCTTTTTCACCTACACATCTAACTATTGAGGAAATGAATCATCATCACCTTCCTGTGAACAATATAAAAAAGCAAAGTAAAGCTATTGAATTAAAACTTTTAATTTTTACAGAAAGGAATCAAAGTGATTACTTTTGTCAGTCGTTCCCTCAATTCGACTGCAGATTTGTGAATAAATTGTTTAGCTTCACGATCAAACAGAACAAATGATACAGTACATGTATGGTCAATGACTAAAACCTGAACCTTGTAACTGATAAAACTCAAAAATTAAAATAAACCAATAAGAATTGTGATCTAAAGTAGACGTTGAAGATCCAGACATCCATTCATGAAGCATATGATGAAATATAACTTGTGAAGAAACGAACATACATACACATACTTCCTGACGTACCTTATGATAACAAATCTTGCATTTTCATTGCATTTCTCACACTAAAATTTATCATTTTCAGCCTTTACCTTCCTTTGACATTTTTTGCAGGCATTGTAAAACCAATTATAATCTGTTTGAATTTTCTGTATAGTTGCTAATGTCACATATGTGCAAACCTGAGTATTATTAAATATTAAGAAAATAAAGTTATGAATAATTTGGTAGAAAATTACTAATTGTCTTCAGATTAGTTATCTAGTTTTAAATAAGCAGTGTAATATCAATAAAGTCGCTTCTTCAAAATAATTACCTCTCGTGCCTCTCGAATTTCATCAAGTGTCTTCCATTCAGTTAATAACAGAAAATCATCCTCGATGGAATAAGCTTTTTCAGTTGGAATCTGACTAAATCGTTGAAACGAAGAATCTTCCACAAGTTTCAGACTTATGATAGTAAAATTAAATTAATTAGAAATAATATCAAATTACTTGTAAATAACTAACGAATGAGATAATTTATCATGTACCTTGTTTTTAGATCAGCAACTTCAAGTATGTCGGGATTGATTAATATCTTGGACGCATATAAGACATTTGTAATAGTAATTTTGCCTAAGAAATAAAGTTTTTAAATTCATGATTCAGTCAATATATAAACATAATCTACGAAATAAAAATATATCTTTTTTGATAAATTAGTATACATCTAATTTGATTTACCTTCATATGGTTTTGTCTTCGCAAGCTGAATCACTATTATAATAATTCCTGAATTAGCTTTCTGTACATATCGCAAAAGTTGAACATCATAATCACCCCACAAACTACATTGCAATTTAATGTTGATGCATGAAGAAAAAAATTAGTACGAAATACATATACACACACTCACACGCACACTCATACTTTTACTATTAAAAAATATGTAACTATATTGTACATATTTGAACTCACTTGATATCTTGGAGTTCAAGCTTCAATAATTTTCTTTTACTTCCATTGTTCTCAACTTCTTTTATATTTCCAATAGTAATGAGCTCTCCAATGATATCCGAAGAATGTCATATAACATAAAATTTTGAATAAAAAGCCCCTAAGTGTCAAATATATTAAAAAATAGTATTGAACTAAAAAAAGGCAATAAGAAAAACTATAAATTTATTTTAAATTTTTTGACTTTTTATCTTACCTATTAAGGTAGTTGAGGTGATACAATTAGCAATTATATCCCAAAATCAACTAATCTAAATGAATACGAAGGTATTGGAGAACTCTCGCATTCTCTAACAAATATAGAGTAGAGGAAGTTAATTCTATATGCGTGATCAGTAGCTCTATAATTTCCAGTATTTTCTCCAACACCAAAATTCGTAATCAGATAGCAGCTGTCTTCATTCAATTGTGATTTGAATTTATCTATCAATTTGTTCTTGATCGTTGCTTGAATTTTGGCTCCCTTTCATAAAAAAGAGAATTTCATGAAGGTATAATCTTGAATTATTCACATTAAAGGAAAATAATAACTGAACTCATGAACAGATTATGAAAGAGTGAAAAGAATTACCTTTTCATCCAGTAAAAGCAGCTCAATAGTTTTTATTTCATTCGGAATATTGAATTTCATCGCATTTCATAACCTTATGACTCTTACCATCACTTTCCAAGTTTCTTTTTCTAGGTTAATTTCAGAAATAAAATCCAGGTTTGGTGCCATATTCAATCTGTCATTTAATTTGAGAGAGGTTGAGAATGAGAGCGATCTAGTCCAAAAGGATGCACTGAGAATTTTCTTCCTATTCACATTATTTGAGAAAATTTGAATTTGTACCGTAGGAATTAAATATTGCAAGAAGTCTGCATAAAAAAGAAGCAACTTATAAAAGTACTATAAACCAATACTTAATAATCACTTTGGACTTAATGTGTATTAGTGAAGCTAACTACTGTTGACATCAATGAAAAATTATTATCATTCTTAGCTTGTTGAAAAGGCTGCTAATTAATTCTCTAAGATAGTGATATATATCTCTGGAGAAAGTCAAAGAAACGCGAGTTAGGATTTAGACATAGAAACCAATGCACTCTCACCACGGGATTGTATATTTGTAACAACTTCTAACCTGAGAAATTTTGGTGCAGTTTCACATTATCATATTTGCAGTAAATTTGGAAGATAACATGATGATGTAGAAGGCTAGTTTCTGAAGTTTGAACTAGTTTGTTGAGAACACAGCATGAGTTAGATTATGTCTACACTTAAAGTTGCAAATAATAATTTAGTGAAGTTCACCTTTAGAGTCAGACTGAATAATTTTATGAGTACGTGATGTTAATAAATTAAAACAGCATAATACTAAAACTAGTGATAGGGAATGTTAAGATTTCATCTGTCATTGGGATATTACCTTGCTACCATTTTGCTCCAGCAACTACAGAGATTGTGCAGTCGTGTAGCCAGAACAATCCTTTATACCCATCTTCTTCTAAACATATTCAAAGAAACAAAGCCCCGCAAAATTCATATTATCTAATAATCAAGCATTTAAATACTTATAAAAGTTTACTGTATTTGCTTGACCAGCTAGAGTTTAGATAGTTAATGTCAAAAACTTGCAGAGTACAAAGAGCTGCTCAATAACACTAAACTTAATTATGGCATGTATGATCACCTGAAGAGCTCTGATTCTTTCCTCCCTAGAGATTGGTTGCTTTGTGACCGCAGCTTTCTCATCAACCCACTTGAAGTGCTCCTAAAAAAGTAACGGAAAAAATCACAAATTTGCAACAAATTTCAGTATCAAAATCCCAAACTGTATCAAATATTACCCCCATAAAAAAAAGAAAATTTCAATGAATTACCGGAGCCATCCACGGACACGTGTCGCAGTCGATGCATCGATGATTTGAGAAGTGAGAACAAACAAAAAAAGATCTCACAATTCAATAATTTATTCAAGTGATACTCTTTTTTATTTTTATTTAATTAGTCAATTAACTCACCAACAAATAACTGTCCTTCAACGTTTTGGGAGCGTCGCTGGCGAATCCGTGCTGCTCTAGTGTAAATAAAAACTTTTCGGCCGGTATTTTGGGTTGGGAGCGGGGTCCGAGGCCGCTATTTCGGGTTGGGAGTGGGGTCGGAGGATATAAGGAAGGTGAAGTGGTGGAGGGTAGTGGAGGAGGGGGTAAAGGGAGAGGAGGTTAGTTTTGAGGAGGAAGGAGAAAGGTTGAGGACTGAGAGAAAAAGTGAATACGTTTGAAAGGAGTGAGAGAGAAATAAGGGAATATGAAAAGATGTTTGTGTAGATCAAAGTTTCGTAGAGATGCCAGCCTATAGCACGGAAAACGAAGGGTTTCTTGGAAGAGGAACAAAAACATATATCTACATTTAGGATTTTTAGGGGCTGTTTGGTTGTATGTTTTTACCATGTAAAAGGATGTAAAGTGTAAAAAAGTGGGTCCCAATGTCAGCTTTCATCACTTTCAATTGTTTGTTTATAGTTGTGAAAATAGTGTAAAGTGATTTCATATGCTGATGTGGCTTGTAAAGTGATTTCATGAAAAAAAGTCATGATTTTAGGAGAAAGCTAACATTGAAGTTAGGAAAAAATAATAAAAAATAATTCCAACCAATATGATCATTTGAGTAGAGACCACTTTTTACACTTTCCAAACAAACAATTAAAGTTTTATTTTGCAAACCAAACAAGTGTTTTATGATTCCAATGGAATCAAAAACAAACAAAGAAAAGTATAAAAGTGAAATTGATGAGGTGGACAACAACTTTCCAAGTTGTGTCATAAAAACACAACTTTACCAACAACAACCAAACAGCCCCTTAGGGAAATTTTGCCACATGTAGAATGGCGTTTTAATAGTAGTACATAGATTGTGGAAAATGAATTGAATTGCGCAAACCCCTATACTTATAATTTGATTTAATAATTTGATTTAAAAAGAAGAAATTGCCAAGTGGCATTTCCAAGGGTAAGAGTTTTTAGTAATAGATATAGATTTTTATGTTAAGAATTATATGCTACAGAAGCTTACAGGGTGTCGCCACAACCAGAGGCCAAAAAAATACCTTTTCTCCTCCTGATTTACGCATGCTTTTTTATGGTAAAACTTGTTAGTCATAGAGCCATATCCTATAACCAAGCATAAAAAATTGTGCTTGGTAGTGAGGTGACATAATCACATCCACTCATTCAAATGGTTGCATATCCCCATGCACTTCTCAACCCATGTGAATGTGGTCTCCCATTTGAATGAGTGGAGGGGATTGTGTCACCTCACTACCAAGCACAAAATTTGTGCTTGGTACCAAGAATACCTATATTTCTCTCTCTCTCTCTCTATCTATATATATATACACATACAGTTACACATGTATATATGCATAAGGTTTGAGTTCCAATCAGTTGGAAAGTATATATTATGAACTAATGAAAGAATCAAAACATTAAACATTCTCTAAACTAACTTCTTACAAAACATTAAACCACATGATCTGAGGACTATTCACAGGCACACATTTATGAGAATGGCATGTTACATGGATATTTCATTGACGAAGTGAATGTATCTAAATTTATTAGGTACTTCGAATCTTGGACTTTATACATGCTTGCCAAGTAGTTCCTAAGATTATAATATAGATTTATAAGAGACATATCAATAATGAATAATTTAACTTACCTAGATGAAATAATAATTTAACCATGAATGGTAGGTTCACAATTAGAATTAATTCATTGATGCATTTATATAGTTTATTTGCTTTAGGAAAGGATATAATGGTTGATTACAATTCACGTAACAATTTGAGTTCTATAACTTGGAAATTTAATTTAAAAAATATATAACTAGTTGTTTAGTTCAAAAACTGTCATTACGAAGCATATTGTGATGTATCCTATCTGGACTTTTAGGATTTCCATTATCAACATATCCTCATAGTGTATTATTATATCTGTGCACACAGCCGTAAAACATAAATTTCTTGTTTATTTCCTTATTCTACTCTACATATCTCTTTGTCATTGTTGACATCATTTTGAAGTAAGTACTTACTAATAGAAACATTGTATGATGTCTTTGAGGCCTGGTTCTAAGCTAAAGGAAGGCTTCACTGGTTATATGACTTCCCAGGTTTAAAAGTAGGGAGGTAGGGAGGGAGGTTTCGACTCGCATGATACTACTTCTTTTCAAATATAGTGTGAATCTATGTTACCTGAGTACTTCTATAATAAAACCGTAAACTATAGTGTGAATCTATGTTACCTGGGTACTTCTATAATGAAATCATACTCGTATTAGACACGTACCCAACACTTTCCCATATCCAAAAATTCATGGACACTTCTTGGATATATGCATGCATTTATTACAACATGTACTCAATTATACGATATATGTGTTAATTTAAAACACTTGTCAAAGACTTCCTGGATGTATAACTTACACTTCACATCCATTTCTTGAAACCTCTGAAGCACGGATACTCCCCCGGAGGCCACGAATCCGTGTCGGACACGAATCAGACACGGATTCGTGCACGACACGTGCAAGACATGTGTTGGACACGGTCAATCCGTATCCGACACGGGTCAACGGGTCAACTAAGGGGGACACGGTCAAACACGGGGCGTGATACGACTTGGATTCGCCGAACAAAGAAAAAACGCGGAATGAAGACAACCCGTAACCCGAAACCCAAACCCAAAAGGCCAAAAACCCTAATGTTCACTTACCTCAGTCCCGCCGCTCGTCCTCGTCTTCATCCATCAATCTCTTCTCTCAGATCTCGTGCTCGTCCTTGTCGTCCTCGCCCTCGCCAAGACCAGATCTCGTGCTCCACCCATCGCTCGTCCCGTTGCTGCTCTCGTGCTCCTTAGATAGGCTCCGCTCGTACTCGCCGATATCAGATCTCGTGCTTGTCCTCATCAACTCCACCCGTCGCTCATCCTCGTCGATCTCGGCTCGTCCGCCGCTAGTCCTCTCGTCCCGATGCGGCCGCTCGTCCTCGTCTTCTCTCAGTCTCAGATCTCGTCCTCTTCTCCTCCCGTCGTCCTCGATCTCGGCTCGACAGCTCGTCCCGATGCCGCTCGTCCTCGATCTTGACAGCTCGTCCTGATTCCGCTAGGTAAGATCTCAAACTCGATAGCTCGTCTTCTCTCTCTCGATCTGATCTCTGGTTCTCTCTCTCTCTCACTCTCTCTGTCTCTCTCTCTCTCTCATTCTCTCCGCCTCTTATCTCCGTCTCTCTCTCAATCTCTGAGTCTCTCTCTTCACTTATTTTTTTGAAAAGACTAAATTTTTTGTTTATGCAGCTTCGTGCTACAACTGAGCAAGTCACTTCATTTGATGTATTTTTTTGTTTACAAACTTGTTATTTTGTGATAGAATGAGTAGAGTATGTACTCCAATTCTTTTTTGTTTACAAACTTGTTATTTTGTGATAGAATGAGTATGTACTCCAATTCTTTTTTGTTTACAAACTTGTTATTTTGTGATAGAATGAGTATGTACTCCAATTCCTTTTTGTTTACAAACTTGTTATTTTGTGATAGATTCATAATGTACTCCAATTCCTTTTTGTTTACAAACTTGTTATTTTGTGATAGATTCATAATTTAGATTGTTAGTTGAATTTTTTAAAATTTTCTATATATAATAATAATTTGAAAAAAAAATTCCTCGTTGTATCCCCGTATCCTATTTTTTTGGATTTTGCCGTATCCTGTATCCATGTCCGTGTCCGTGTCCCGTTTCCGTATTCGTGCATCATAGCTTGAAACTAGTTAGATATGGGTCGGGTTCGTTTCAGTCCATACCCAAGTTTAAAATTATATAGTCAATGGGTCGTTTGTATGTCTAATAAACAAAAAAAAAGTAGTTTCCAATTTATGATATCAATATGATAAAAGAAACTTAAAAATATGATTGAAAATTTAATTCTAATGACACATGAAGCAGAAAAAAATTATCTCATATACATTATTAATTCAATATATATATGTAGCCGTGTCCCCATACCCTACATTTTACAGATTTGCCATGTCTCGTACCCTTACCTGCACTCGTACCTGTACCCGTACCCGTTTCCATGCGACTTAGGTGCGAATTTAGCATTAGTCAATACTCTTTTCTCTCTTCAATTTCTATCAACTACTAAGAAAAAATTTGGGCTTCCAGTTGCAATCAGTTGTTTGTGGCGAAGACTGCTCATTTCTGGAAAGTGCAACAATTTCACTTCTGATAGACTCATAGACATGCTGATTTAAGTCTACTGTCAAGAGAGCCCATGAAAAGAGATAAAACCCTCTCTAGGATTAACTTGTTGACATGATTGAAAATTATGAGAAAAGGAATGTTCTGTTTGTAAGTAGTGCCCTAAGGTGTTTTTGGAGGATTCAACTTTTGCTTACCCCCAACTCTGGCAGAGAACCTGGGATAGAAAGTCTGTAGTATAAACTTGAGAAGGAAAAGATCAATGATGCTAAATATTAAGAGTTACGAATGACAAGCTGGGTAGAACTGTCATAACACACAATATGGAATTCCCCAAGTGAATATTTTCTGATAATTATCTGGCATATTAGCCATTAGACATCCGCAGTTATATGATAGCATTTTGGTGTTTGCCAGTACAATCAATATATCTTTACTTGAAGAAGGTGATATATGTCATAATCTGTTCTCTTCGTTTTTTACTATTTAATTCTTACTAAAGAAATTATTTGAATTTTGTAAACACGTGTTACACATATAAAATTATACCTCTTATTATGTTATCAAATAGAAGGTTACTATGTGTATGTGCATGCATCTAGGTGGTGCTATATTTCTTCATGCATGTAGAGTTGCATCTCATCATCATGTTATCCTTCAATACTTGCAGCAGTTGTGGTCCACAAGTTCTATCTGCAGTTCTAGCTACATCAAATCAAACTCATATATCAATAAATGTGAGGTATGAGAATAATATAGGCAGGACATTTGCACATATAAAAATTCAACTAATGACTTAGTTTTGGTGTTCATTCAATTGAGCCTTTGTTTATATTGGCAAGTTCTGTCTCCAGGTCGCTCACTTGAATCATACTTGCTTTGTTCTGTTTGTAGAAGAAACAAACTAGTTTCATAGTGGTCAAATCCTAGACCTTTTTTGGAGAGATTGAGTTAGCTACATTCGTTGACATGGCAATGGAGTGATTGGCATCTTGAGACATATAGCAGTAGCACATGGTTCATGTCACCCCTGCAAGTAGCGCCTTGTACTATGTTCAACCTCACATTTATTAGTTCTGTAGAGATTCCAGGCAGCCCATTTCTTCTTGTAGGAAATAATCTCAACATTTAGTTAGATTTTATTGTATGGGTATCTTGATTCACGACTCACATTCACAAGTCACTTCAATAATAGTGAATGCAACTTGCAAGCATGTGTCACATGTATGCTTCAAAATAAAGATCAATCATCTCAGAAGAATTGATGGTCCTATCCTTTCTTCTTCAGGAAAATGGAGCTCTTTCAGTTCGTTGAATCATCCCAAGTTCAGTTGAGAGACTCTCAGGACAATCAAGGGACTGGAGCTCCTCCCATATCATGATGCTGAATGCTTTTTCTGGAGGTAATGTATCATGATGAGAGAGAGATAAAGATGGCATCATTTAAAGTAAAAGGAGAGGAAAAGTATTTTTATCAAATAAAGAAGAGAGCTGCACTAAATTTTTCCAGGCTTTATTGGGAAGGGGGCCTCCTTTGTTAACGTTGTCACCAAACTAGTTCAGACCATGGACATCAGAAAAAAGGAAAGGCCAATTTACCTGCATTGTTTGTAAACTGTTGGTTATGGGCAGCTGAAAAAGAAGGAAGGGCTTTTAAATGCTGTTGTTTAAGATAGGGTTAATTACAGAATCCCCTGAGGTTTTAGAAGTCACTTTACCTTCCTCATTTCCTATTTCTAGTCAAATAATCATCAAATTTTAATGTGTGTGTGTAGAGAGAGAGAGAGAGAGAGAGAGAGAGAGAGAGAGAGAGAGAGAGAGAGAGAGAGTTAATGTGTGTGGAGAGAGAGAGAGAGAGAGAGAGAGAGAGAGAGAGAGAAATGAGTATGCTTGGTACCAAACACAAGTTTTTGTGCTTAGTAGTGAAGTGACATATTCCCCTCCACTTATTAAAATCGGGGTTCATATTCACATGAGTTGGGGAGTGGTTGAGAATTGGAATGAGTGTATGAGAATAGGACACCTCACTACCAAGCGTAAAATTTGTGTTTGGTACTAAACATACCCATTTTTCTCATATATATATATATATATGTGTACATACATATACATATACTAGTTGGGATGCATGTACGTTGCACGTGGTTATTGTTAAACATTCTATTTGTTTCTGTTGAGTTTATATGTTTGCTATAACTTTATTGTGGAAATAATTGTTTTATTGTTTAAATTTGTTTCATGAACATAAAAAATGAGAAACTTAATAAAAAAACAGAAAGTAATATGAAGAATTTTTGAGTGTTCACATATAGAATACATAAATTTAAAAATAAAATGAGCAGAAATAGTCTACAATATCCAAGTGAATCAGGGTTGATGATCGGTTGATAAATTCATAGTTGTTATTGTAGTCATCATCTCGTAAATTGTTTTAATTATCGCATACACGAAAACACACATAGACATGCATGTGGATTTTTTTATCAGTCCCTTATATCATTAGTATTTTACTATTAGTCCCTCAAATCTTTATATTTTGATGTTAGCCCCTCAAAGTGCATAAATATGTTGATATGAGTTCCCATATAGTTAATTGGTATTATAAATGATGAGGAATATTCTGTTATGTTTAACGTTTTTAAGGAAATTAATAATTATGCCCTCACTCCTAATACCCAAAACATTCGTACCCATTAAGCTCAAGAAACTAAATAAAAGGCCCAATCCGAATTCATTTCACAACTCATCTTCTCCAACGACCCAATAAAATGGTGAACCCATCTTCTTTAACAACTCTTTTTATTTTTAGAGGCCATAAAAGCCTATTAGAACTCCTCGATTGAGAGAGTAGCTAAACATCTATGGTTAGTCTAAACCTAACCATGATTAAGGATTTTGGACCATAAACATAACATAGGAACTGATATCTACATATTTTTGCAACTTGAGAGATTAATATCAAAATACTAATGATTTAAGGAGCTACTAAAAAATCATGTATGTAGTAATATAATGTATATATTTTATGAATAAATGGAATACATGTTTGCTCTTATTAGAAAAGTTATTCTGCAGATAATGAGCTATCAATTGTAATATTGTTCATTCTTGGGACTTACTTATGAAATTTCATGATATTTACTTGCTATTAAGATTCATCTTATTTGACAAAATTTTTTAAAGTTCTAGAGTACTTTTTGTAAATTAATAAAATTTCAAGGGTCTTTTTGAAGTGTTAGGATTATTTCTTCTATAAACCTTTTAAGTTTTTGTGTTTTATTAATTTAGCAAATTTTTTGTAAAGATTTAAAATGTTTGTAATTTTGCATATTCCTGCAAGTTTGCAAAATCTAGGCTTTTTCATAACTTTTGTAAAATCTAGGATTTTCTTGCAAATTTTTAATATTTTAAATACTTTTGGGTTTTTTTATAAGTTCTATGAATTTTTTCAAAAAATATATAATTTCTGATATTCTTTTGGTTATTTCTACAAAATTTTGTAAGTTAATTTTTTTTATCAAATCTTCAAATTATGGAAGTCCTTTAGAGATTTCTAGGATTAGGTAAGTTTTATGAATTTTGGATATTTTCTATCTCGGTTAATAACATATAATTAACATTTATCTCCTTAATTATAAAGATAATTTCAGAGGTGAGAATATTTTATAATTGATCTAATTATTTTTATCTTTATTTTAAATTTTAAATATAAACAAACAAAGGTGAGAATATTTTATAATTGATCTAATTATTTTTATCTTTATTTTAAATTTTAAATATAAACAAACAAATGATAAGATGAAGAGTTTTTTTTCTAATTATTTTTATCTTTATTTTAAATTTTAAATATAAACAAACAAATGATAAGATGAAGAGTTTTTTTTTACTTGTTAGGTACCAAATTTAAATCGTTAGATGGTTGTAGTTTTAAATCTTTATCTAGTTTTCTCTATTAAATAATTTTTGATTTTTGAAATTTTCTAGTTTATAATTTATATTAAATAAATATACATGCATCTTATTAAAGATATTTCAATTACTTAAAACATGATCATAATTAAATCATATATTTTCTACAAATTTTTTAATATTTTGAAGTCTTTTCAATTATGGAGCAAAAAAATTAAAATTTTAACATACTGAAATCAAATATTATAATCGTTTCTTTTGAGAATTCTTAACATGCTTAAATTTATAACTTAATATAATTTTTAATATACTTATTGAGGATTTATTAAAAATTCTTTAAAATATATAACTTTATATAAATTTTTACTTACTTAATCAAATCTGAGCTTACATACGTATTGATTGCATAGGATAGAATAATTGAAGCTTATTATAAGTTATACCTATTAATTGAAATTAATTAGGATAAAATTATGTTATAATAATATAGTATCTAAAAGGTTCAAGGGTATTTTTAAGATAGAATAATTGAAGCTTATGTCTATTAATTTAAATTAATTAGGATAAAATTATATTATAATAATGTAATATCTAAAAGGGTAAGTGTATTTTCGTCCATGAAAAAGTTTACCCAAACTCCGTATTAGGTAGGGTATGATAGAATAATTGACTCTTATATCTATTAATTTAAATTAATTAGGATAAGATTATATTATAATAATGTAATACCTAAAAGGTTCAATGGTATTTTTAGAATGGAATAATTGAAGCTTATAACAATTAATTTAAATTAATTAGGATAAAATTACATTATAATAATGTAATATAAATAAAGTTTAAAGGTATTTTTGTCCATAGAAAGTTTTTCCCTAACTCACTCTTTTAAAGGAAGTATGATGTGTATGTAAATATGTGTGTATGTGTGCATGTGTGTATGTGTGCGTGTGCATGTGTGTATGTGTGCGTGTATATATGTATGCATACATGTATGTATGCATGTATGTCTGGATGTGTGTGTGTGTATGTCTGCATGTATGTATGTATGTCTGCATGTATGTATGTGTGTATATGTGTATGTATGTATATATGTATGTCTGTATGTGTGTATGTATGCATGTATATATGCATGCATGTATGTCTGGATGTGTGTGTGTGTATGTATGTATGTATGTATGTATGTGTGTGTGTGTATGTATGTATGTTTGTGTGGGTCTGTGTGTGTATGTGTCTGTGTATGTGTGTGTGCCTGTATATATGCGTGTATAAATAAATAAGTAAATATATGTGTGTGTGTATATATATATGTGTGTGTGTTGACTATAGTAAGAAAAAAAAGAACTAAGAAAGAACACTAAAATATGCTGAGAGTTCTAAATTATACTAGAAATGTTACAGAAATAAGCATAAATAGTAAAAGGCTTAAAATTAAAGCAGTTAGGAACCTAGCATAGAATATTGTAGTAGTTTTTTTTACTACAGATGTCTACAATTTTTTTTATCATATATCAAGCAATAATATCAAGAAGGGAGTTGTTTCCCACAATACTACGAAGCGAGGATATACACCAACGAGCTGGGGGACAGGTTTCCTTACCTCAGGCCAACTCCACCACCGACTAACTTGGCTCTGATATCAATCGTGACTAGGACTGTTTTAGTCTTGATACGGCAGAGCTAGCTCGTAGGGAATATTGTGTGGATGAAGGAGAGGATATAGATAATATTTATAGCTATATCTTCTTTTTCGTTCACATGTATATCAAAAAGAAAATGAAAAACAATAAAACAGTAAAGACAGAAGCAAAAGAGTATACAACGGAAGCTAAAACAAAAATGAAGAATTTCAAAGCAAACTAAGTAGTAGTATTAACAAGAGGCACACTTACATACTTGACGGAAAGTAAACTTAAAAACTTACAAACTAGGAGCTGTGTGATGAACTGCTCTGCCCCTGAGTAGTAGTACTAGTACACACTTATTTTACAAACACTCAACAGAAAACTCGAAAGCAAAACTCAAACTTCAAACTAAAAAACTAAAAGAGAGAACAAGAGGAATTCTAAAGAGGATCTTACTTCTCTCTTCAAAAAACCTCCCCTCCTTCATGAGCTTCTACCCCTTTTATAGAGTTTTGGAAATACTATTTCAAGATGCTTGTCATGACTTGTAGGACCCATTTAAGCAAATTTGTCAAAACCTACAAGAAATTAGGTTGTAGAGTAGCATTTTGGCAAAAATATCTTCATGCTTAAGTATCCAAAGAGTAGGAATCCAATGTAGCATACTGTATACGGTTATATCTGCTGTCATTTTTTCTGCAGTTGTAGATTACTGCTTTTCGCTGTGAATAAAATTTGCATAAGAGTTAATTACTTTTAAACTAGGAAAATATATTGATAAGAGTTGATTGACTTGATTTTTAAGTTGTTGAAATTAATCATATATGAGTTTTTACCATAAGTTAATAGCATGTCACATATTTTCTCATGTATGTGTTATTTCTTCTGCCAGGTCACTGTTGATTGATATATCATTTGAAGAGTGGAGTTCTTCTTCTTGGCTGAATTCTTTTTCTTGGTAGTATTTTGCCGCTATAAAAATATCATAAGCTTCTCTTGTTTCTAGGCCAAATGGTGGATTGGTCATCCATTGATCAATGATTGCTTTGACTGCTCGTGTGAGAAATTTCGCACATATTAATGTTAGTGCAGATATTTCGAAGTCCATCTGTCATATAATATGAATAATCTTTAATTAAATACTCAAATTTTTTATAGAACCAGATGGTGCTTTGAAAGC